ATAGTAGTTGAATAACTCGTGTAATGAAAATAAAATCTTAATATGAATCATCTATATTGCCGAATGAATTTTGTTAGAATATATAGTTCCTGACAATACTAATTACAATAAAATAATAGTTTTTGGTTTTATCTAATCATAAAATTTTTATAATTCATATTGTGAACATTTATAAAAGTTGTATTAAGAAAAATATTACAATTTGCCCTAATAGAATGAAAAATGGAGTATAGCACATCTTGCAAATGTTTTGCCACATATTTTATTAATTGTTTTGATTTTAAGATTTGTGTAAAAAATAAGAAAACGTATGAATGGTTTTAGCTACTTCTAAAGATTTTATTTTATTTATCATGCTTACTATTACTTTAATTTTTGATTACATGTATAGATTAGGGCGGGACACAAAGGTCCAATTTGATTTTCAGCAGTTATGTTGTGAAAACGAAACCAACTACAGCACAATAAATAATACATTTTAAATAACTATAATTTTTTTTGCTATTTTCCAAAATATTGTCACCTAGTCGTTTTTGCCCCGAAAAAGAAACAGCCAGTGAAGGACAAAGAAATCCACCTTCTTTTTATGATTTTAAAAAAGATTTTATTTAATAATATCTATAATATTTTAATCAATGCGATGCAGTGTCATTATTAGGTTGAACAATATAATAATATTGAAAATTATAACTTAAATATGTATTATACAAAACCAACATAAATGTCAACTTTTACTACTATCATAAATCTTGCTCTGGTTTATGTATTTATTATTTATGTTTAATTTATCATAGCCAGATTCATTGTATGCTATCAAAGTTTTTTGAATCATTCAAATCGGATGCTTACTTCTCTCAAAAACTGCCATTTTTTGCATTTAACATTTAACTCTATATCTCTTAAACGGCTGGACTTGCCTTTGCCAAAATTTAATCACCATTTTTCCTGATGTTATAAATCGAATATTTTTCAGATCATTCAAATCGGTTGATCTGTTCTCTTAAAATCTGACATTTTCAGCACTTTTTGCTTCATATCTCTGAAATCGAATGTTTTCTGAACCATTCAAATCCGTTAATCCGTACGAAAAATTGTCTCCACACATACGCACGCACACTCACATATACACACACACATACATCCATTTTTTTATGATCTCATGGCTGACTAGATTGCCACATCACTCTTGTGTTAGAGAAAATAGTTATAGACTAGTGGTGTATGGCATCGACAAAAATTTGTATCCGCACACACACACACATACACACAGACACACACATACATCCATTTTTTTTAAAGTATGCCCAAATGTTCAGAAACCTCTGAAACGTAAAAATATATAAAAATTTTCATTTTCGATTTTTATTGCGATTACTAAAACTTGCTCTACGGGAAGTTAAAAACATATTTTTTTCTATATTTTAATAATTAACTCTATGGGGTATGATACATCATAGGTATGATACATCTTAGTTTGAATGCAATAGTAGACGATTCAATTTGTCAAACAAAGGTGATGAAATTTGTCTTGAACCATTCTTATATTTCATTTAGTTCAGTTTGAGAAGCAATGTCATACAATGTACACAAAACAAAATAAACTAATAAACTAAAATGTGTACCAACTCCTACCATGTGTGTGTCATTAACGCATCGTTAACTATGACGTGGATTTTTTTGAAATGTATCAAATCAACAAGTGATCTATTACAAACTGTCGGCTTCTTTGGGTACATCATTTGATCCCAATTGAATCTTTATTAATCACTATTATATCAAACAATGTTTAGAAATAGATTGATGTTATGCAATGTGACAATGGAGAGTTTGATAAATTTTAATGGCATCTTGTAATGATGAGGATATAAGACCCTTAAAAGTTGCATTTAAAGCTATTTTGTATATTTCAAAAGGGGTAAAATTAAAGTAATATACGTTAATATAACGAAATATATCGTAAGTAGTGGTGCCTGAAGGATTTGCTGGAACTTCCCGTACCACAATTTAATTATTCAAGCAAAAAAAATTAATAATCAATAAATATTGATCAATGATTAATAATAATTGTTTTAAATGATTATAATTACTATATATATTCGTTCATATAATATACAGTGACGATCTTATTATTCAAAACACTTGAAAATGTTTACATTAAGAAGAAATGCTGAATGAATCCATCTGAGGATATATTTCTTATATCGTATAAGTGAACTTTAAAAATTAAAACTCTTGGCACGAAACCCAAAAAAATTGTAACAAAATTTGCTCTTATTACTAAAATATCTATAAAATATCTGATAATTTGATGTGCAAATGCCTAATGATCATTTTAGACCGCCTAATGTTTCTTTTTTACATTTTCTCTGTGTCTCCGAAACTGCTCCCTACTCAAAAATTTAATCAATCCTTCATATCAAAAACTAATCAGCACGTCTTCCCATCAGTAGGAATCGAATGTTTTTTGAATCATTCAAATCGGTTGACCCACGCACCCGAAATCGTGCATGAAATAATGTATCCAAACTTACACATACACACATACAGCCATTTTTTCTAAGATATTCTAAAATGTTCAGAAACCTTTAAAACGTAAAGATGTGCAAAAATTTTCATTTTCGATTTTTTTTTGCTATTACTATAACTTACTCTACGGGAGTTAAAAAATTTGAAGTAATATGTTTTAAGGAAAATTGATTCTAAGTGGCATTTTGCCTTGAAACAAGTTGCTACCTGATATATGTCGATATATCGACTTTCAAAAAAGTAAAATTCACCAACTTTTAGAATCGTGACAATAGTAATTCGAAATTTTTACACCTGCCTGTTTCAAACTTCAATGTATATGTGTAAATGTATTAATTCATAATAAACTTTTTTCAAGTAAATAAAAGTATATTAAAAATCTCAAAAATATGAAAATGTCATAACATATTAGGTTGTCAAATATCTCCCTTCTGCTTTTTTGCACTTGGTTTATAATACAAAAAGGCGGTTAAGTTATTTGACAACCTTATATTCTTTTTTATCCCCTGACGCAAAAGTTTACTTGATCGTCACATCACTCCCTGTTCAGTGTTGACGTCAAAGCTTACTTGAACGTCACATACATATAAAATATGTTTCGTAGGCCTATAATATTTTACGATTTTTGTTAAGACCATCAACGCTATCATTATACAAAGTATTTATCAAAATAAAAAAAAAACTAAATGCAAGAAATGGGCCGGCCATAGACCTTATACTACATGGACTGCTAGTCGAGCGCAAAATAAGTGCTCACTCAGCATAGGAGGGACTGTGACGTCACCTGCTGAGCGAACGTTGCCGACAATCGCGAAACTTTCCCTTTTGATTAAATGTCAAAATCTTTTATCTTAATAATATAATGGCAATTGTGATGACTGAGGATTTTGTTAAAAATGATATTAATTATATTTAATAATATTGATTATAATAGTTAATTTAATTCAAATATTATCTGATAGTGATAGTTTTATTTCAATAATGTAATGGCAATTGTGTTGGCTGAAATGATATTAATAATGTTTCCCCTGTGAAATAAAAGTACATAAAATCCAATCCACCTGTTAAAATCGGTTTTTATATTATAAGGTCTATGTTAGGCACCTAAGGTTCGCGAGTTCTTCTCGAGTTTCATCAAATAGTTTTTATATTTTTGACATTGGTGCTGCCGTTTTTGAAAAAAATGTCGATAAAATTCAAGCTTTAGCGCATACACATACACACATACTTTTCTTTCACGGAGTTAATTAATTTATATTATTCATGTTTTAGTTTCAAATTTCAAGTCTTATGTTGAATGTTAAAAAACTTAGAGGCATTCACAGTGAAAGATGGTAACAAATGATTTTTTTGTACTTAAGCAAATAATTAAAATGTATGTAGGTATATGAAATTTTTGGTATACCGATCAACGAAATCTTAGAACTTTAAAAAAAGCTATTTATTATATAATATTGCAATTGAAATAATACTTTATCATCGTCAGCTTTTTTTTTGAAAACGGGCCAATCGATCGATACAAAAGATTCAAATTACATATCTACTTTACAAATTGGTAACGCATGAATAACTTATACTGCTATATAATTATTTCTTGAAATACAAACAGAAATATTGATCAAAATATTTACTTCTTCATGTTCAAATATGAAATCAATTTTTAACAGTCATTATTTGAAAAAGCTATTTCACACTCAAATGAACTCAACGTAACATCAAGACATGTTGACATAAATGGATGGAAAATTTGGAAAAACTGCCTTGCTCAATTTGTTGAAAACTGCTGCATTTTAAAGCTTGTTTTTTATTTAAATCAATGTATGAATTATACGTAGATTATTTTTACTATAAATTTGCATACAAATTTCACCGTAAATTATGAAAATTTTAGATGTAGTTTATTACTTTTTTGAACAATAAGTAATAAAATTAAGCGGTATAAGGTAATAAGTAATATTATTAAATTAAATCAAATTTAATTTAGCAGCTAAGACATAATGCAAATATTTACATAGAACTTACTAATTAATAAACATAATATTTACAAATCATAGTTTATAATTATGTGTTTTAAACATACTAAATGTAATGAAATTTTGTTCAGATTTTGTGTTTTTTCTATTTTTATGGATTGCTTAAAAATGAGTCTATAATTTCACAGGCATATTTCAAACCATTTCATCGTTAGAGTCTCTACTTTTATTATTGTTTTGTGAATTATGTATACATTGTTATTTTGTTCAACTGTACTAAAAGAGATACATTTATTACATTAATTAAATATTTCATTAAATAAAAAACGTATTGGTTTTCTATTAAAAACCAGAAATAATCCGGTTGCTTGACGCAAATATTGTTTATCACATTATTAGTTAATGTAATGGTAATTAGTTAGTTAACCGCAATTCATATCAACTATTTATTAGTTTTCAATTGAATAGAATAATATTTCAATGGGTGATGATTTTTTATAGTGTTACGTAACTGGGGCGGTTTTGCTGCTTGCTGCAGCTTGTGGTATGCCAATTGGTTATTCGGCCGTTTTGCTGCCGCAACTTCAAGAAAGGAATGACTCATTGGCAACAGATGCCGACATGGGCTCCTGGATTGGTACGTAGTCTTAGTAAACTCGGAAAATATATTTTTACTTAAATATATCTTTACCATCAAATTTATTTGTATCTCCCATTTGAGAATACTTTTACTTTAATTTAAGCTATAACCTTGTAAATTAGTATCGTTTATTTAGTAGAAGTATTCTTTTTTAGGCCTAAAGCCTACAATATAATGGTGCAAACGATATTGCATGAGAGTTATGCTAAGATTCACATTTAGAGTAAACTATACCAACTTTAATTTTTTTTCTTAAAAAAGTATTCGAGAAACAAAGCTATGGTAGCTACACCTCATGAAATAAGACAAATTGAAAATTGAACTAGCTGTAAGTGGAATTCTGTCTTAAGGCAATTAAGGCATCGTGCCTTAAGGCAAATTGCTGGAACTTCCCGTACCAAAAATTATTATTTTTTTAAAAACGATTAACATTTTTGAAAAAAAAATTACTTTGAAAAAATAAGATTTTTGAGAAACTATAAATTGGACAAAAAAAAACTTTTTAATGAAAAAAAAATTAAAAAAAAAAAAAAAATAATTTTGACTTTATTTTGACATATTGTGGAAGATCTGAACTTTTTTTCAAAGCAATCGTACTGCTTTATCTGCATAGGGACAAAATATAAAGCGCGTAAGCGCCGCGTCGCTGTCTAACGCATAAGCATTGGTACGGAACCCATAGGAATGTAACCAAATTTATACTTATTGTTAAAATCTCTATAAAATATTTGAAAATTTGATGTGCATATGTCTAATGATCATTTTTGACCGCCAAATGGCATTTTTTTTTACTTTTTTCGTTAGATCTCCGAAACCGCTAGACCTGCCTTTATGAAAATTTGATCAGTTCTTTATCTTGTCAATACAAGTAAAATGTTTTTTGAATTATTAAAATCGGACGCTCCGTTCTCGTAAAAACTGAGTTACCGTTTTCGGCACTTTTTGCCCCGTATCTCCGGAACGGCTAGACCTGCCTTCGCCAAAAACTAATCAGCACGTCTCCTTATCAATACGAATCGAATGTTTTTTGAATTATTCAAATCGGTTGATCCGTGTTCCCGAAATCGTCGACGAAAATTTGTATCCGCACATACATACACACACGTACATACATACATACATACATACATACTCGTACATACATACATACATACATACATACACACACACATACATCCATTTTTTCTAAGGTATGCCAAAATGTTCAGAAACCTTTGAAACGTAAAGATATATAAAAATTTTCATTTTCGATTTTTTTGTGATTACTATAACTTGCCCTACGGGAAGTTAAAAATATGAAATTTAGATATTTATTTAGTTTGCAGAAAAGCTCAAAATCTTAAAACATCTTATTATAAGGCCGACAATTAATGTATAAGTACAAATAATATTATTTCATCACATGTTTAAATTGAATAGAAAGGAATTTTATTAAAAATTTTGATGATTTTTTATAAACTAAATTAAATTAAACTACTTTTCGTTGAATTAAATTTATGTTAATTAAATATTGAAGCATTGAGAGAATCAGCAAATAGAATTTTCTGGTGAAAGCAAAAAATTCTTCTTTAAGAAGTTAATAAATTGATGTAACAATGAAGTAGATACATGCAATTATTCTTTAAGACTTCGCATAAATCTATGGCTTGAAAATTAATTAAATTTTCGTTTCCTATATATATGAAAAATACATTGTGTGTTTAAATTGTTGCTCGTTAAATAAATATACAATTCGTTAAGTTTATTTTCTTATTTTTGCCGCATCATGTTCCGCAAAAAAAGCACGTTCTTCTGAAATCTTGTGCAGAAAACATGTTAAATCTATTGTAAGGTGATTAAATTGCGAATGTTTTCATTGTTTACTTATTTCTTAGAAATCAATTATAGAGATTAAAGGAATATATAGAAATGCCATCAAATTTTGCGAATTTTTGTTATAGAATACTGTATTTCTTCCGTATTACCAAGATTAGAAGTTCATCTTTCAACAATAAATTAATCGAAATAATAATATTGAAGATAAATAATTATAAAAATATATTTAAGAAGATAGCAGCCATAGATTCGACTGAAATTTTTTGGGAGTTCGGAATTTATGAAACTCAGCCTAACTTTCAAAATGTAGGAAAATGAATTTTCATCAGACCCGCACAATTTTTTTATATATATTTTGTTATTAGATCATATTTTATGATAAGTAAAACATCTGTCTTGCATAAATAGTTTTATTATGCTTAGGCACTAGCTATTCATCTTTACATTATCACTGCATTATGTCCCAAAGTGGCTCCTTGATCACGTTTGAGACTATCAGGAACAAAAGAGTCTCATTAACTCGTTCCAATCAATTACCCCCAAAAAAATCTTGAACACACTTGCAAGAACTCAGCAACATGTAGGTTAATTTCAAATCTAGTTATTCTTTTCACACATAAAGACTTATTTTTTTACTCCACAATTGTATTTTTATTCAAGTAGTAGGTATTAATACTTTTCATGCTATATTTGCTAGAATTATACAAAAGATAGTTGTAAACTATATGGCTGAAAAAAATAAGTACATTATGTTTTATTTATAATAATATTCCAATTTTGTAAATACCCTTCTTCTGTCATGTCTACACGATGATTGCGTTCATTTACATATAATATGTTTCTATTCAATAATGAATTCTAAGGTAATTGTGAATAAATAAATGAATAAATCTATTTTTTTTGTTTTCAGCATCTGTGCATTCTCTGGCGTCTCCAGTTGGGTCATTTCTTTCGGGTTCTCTGATGGACCGTTGTGGTCGTCTGAGGGCATTGCAGATCTCGGTCGCTCCACTCATAGGCGGCTGGGTCTTGCTCGGATGCGCTCCTTCGCATGCAGTTTTACTGGCCGGTAGGCTTGTGGCTGGATTTGCTGTCGGGCTGATGGCACCACCATCACAGGTAATAATTATATCATTAAAGTTACAATCATGGAAATTAGCCTGAATCTGAATTAGAAGGAATTGATTACGCGATTCAATAAATGTGTTCAAGTTAGTTGATGGCCTATTAGTTTTTGGGAAATGTAGATCGAAATGTTTATTTGGCATACGCATATTAAATAAACGAATCTTTGACGTAAGCATAACTTATTTTTACCAAATTTTGGATTCCATGATCTCATTAGCTTGAACCCTGTGTTTTGGAAACAAATCTCAGGACCTTTTTTGTCAGTGACATCAATTATGATACATTCTCCATATTTTTGAGAGGTTTTGCTTTCACTGTTCTTATGTGTGGGCGGTAATTCTTTTCAATATTTCTCATTAGTTTCTCATTTTCAATATTTCTCATCCAGTGAAAACTGACACTCTTCAAAATTCTATAATATACATCTCGTTTACAATATATATATAGTGCAGTAAACGGAGCGTTTAGGGTCTGAATTTTTATACTGTGCTCCGAATTGCATGAAATTTTGGAATAAGGTTCATCTTACCCTCAAGTTCAAAAGTGAAAACAATTCGGATTCCGCCACCACCCACCTTGGGAATGACACCCCTTCTCAACTGTGTAATTACATTTTTCAAAATCGATAGAAGAACTAATTATAAGAAAAAAATCTTTTATAGTTTTTCCAAAAAACTAATATTTTTCAAGTTACTGGCCACTAAAGATTCATATATTTTTGGCGTTTCTCTTCGTTTTTTTTTGCAAATTTATACTGGGTACTAGTGTTATATTAACTGTTTTTATTTAAGGGCAGTCTTAAGAGTTGAACAAATTATGGATATGGTAATTATTTTCGAGAAATTGAAATAAATTAATATCATTTTGAATTTCTTAATTTTCTATCAATTTCAAAATAATTTTTTAAAATAATTTTTTATCAAGAAGTTGTTTTTAAGGGTCTAAAAGGGTTAAAAATTTGATAATCAAGATAGAAAACATAAAATATTTACTTTATACGTAATTCTTATTATGTCATAACGAAAATTATTTTTAAGTGTTTTTTTTTTTCAATTTAGAGGTTGTTTGAAGGGTTTTTGGGTTTTCATCGGGTTGAAAATGATTTTATTGCAAGGTAAATGTATTAAAAAATATTTTTTAATTATATCCTATAATATTAAAAATGTTTACTAGCGATAAAACGGGTGGTGGCGGAACCCGAATTGTTTTCACTTTTGAACTTAAGGTTAAGATGAAGAACCCAGTAAAAAAATTCAGAGGTTATACCCTTTTTTCCTCTTCGTGCACTGCACTAATATTAGATATAAGATATTCATGTCATTTTGAATATTTGCTCTCATTTTTATGTAATATACCAACATACAAGTAGAGTGGACTAAGGACATTTTTATCATTTGAGCAAGTTGCGAGAACGTCTCGATATCTGCAAATATTTTAATTGGTTAAAAAAATGTATTTAGCGTATATATTTTTTTCAATATAATTTGGTCGAAGTTAATAATAATCAATGATATTCAAAACGTAATTATCAAGCAATTTTAACATTATTTTGATGTTTTACATAAATAAAAATATGTTTGCATTTCCAAATAGCTGATTTGGGTTCTCTGTTGCATATTGGCAATTCTCTCATTAAGTATTCTTTTTCGAGTTAGAGTTTAACTCAACTCACGAACCCAAATATTATTGTTATGAATTTATCTGTAAATAAATAAATAAATGAAGAAAATAATAAATATGCAAACGACAGCGTGGCCTTCTTTTCGTTTGTCCACCTTGAATTAAAAATAATCTATGGGCATGGGCGTAGCCAGGTTCAGGTTATACCTTAATAATATTAAAACAAACTGAAATTAAGTTGCGCTTTTTAAATATCTGTCAAGTGAGGGCAGGAGTCAACAAAACAATTATTAAAAAAAATGCAATGAAGTGAAATTGCGTAGAAATCTGAAAGCATGTCATTAAGTTGTAAGAACACGGCATTTGCTTCTATATGAGTATACTATATTCCTGTACTCGACATGATGTTATTTCTATAAACTATCAAAAGCCTGAAGAATCTTCTTAGAATTTAAAAAAAACAACAATATTTACTTTCTCTGGTATGAAGAACAAAAGCAGTTTGTTTATTTTGGTAGAATCTTCAAGATAACAGGTTCATTCTGAACCTCAAGAATCGAGTTTCTAGGGAGGAAAATAGTAAAAGAAACATTATTTTTTTTATATATATATATATATTTTTTATAGTTTTCAAATGAAGTTATTCCAAATGCTTTTGAATGTGAATAAATACCAAGGACATCAAAGTTTGATCTATATAAAGGTGCCTGATGATTCTTATTTTCTTTATTTTTTTTTTCTCAAAATACTACTAAGTTATAAATTGTAACCACTTTTGGAACATTTAGAACTAGGATAATAATATTTTAATTATTAATTATTGTAAATTTCCTACGTCAAGTTTGTTTCTTCGCAAGTTTTTAGTTAGTTGTTCTTAATTTCATTTCTAATCATTCATTCAACATAGTTAAAGTTAATTGTTATTAACTATTTAACATTATAAATACCTATATTATATCTATACTTATAGTTTACGATTTAATACAATCACGGCTAATGAAATTTGATAACTTGTTTTAAATTAGTATGTGCTTGCGAATCATTCATGCCATGGAATATTTGGAAAGGAAAATGGTGACACAAACATATATAATAAAGTTTATGCTGAATTAAAAATGTAAAGTACACTATATGGTACTATTTATATCAATAATATTTGTAAACAACGACATATAATACGCGTTTGGTAATTAACGGAAATCATAATGTGATATGAAGAAAAATGAATGATAATTTTTAATATTTTATCATTTGATGTTACGCTTAGAAGCATATAGTTTTACATATTTCATCGTCGTGTGCTGTTCATGAATAATTTTATTATGTGGGTGGTACGTCGACCTCGTCCCGAAGAAAGTTTTCCATAGCTTTCCTTTATATATTCGCGTTCGTTTGTATTTGTCTTATTAAATCTTTGATGTCTTATGTATGTGATGTTGAAAAAGATATTCTATTAATAACATACTCTACTTTTATAATATAGTTATTAACTTCCCGAAGGAGAAGTTTATGTTTTCATAAAAAAGCGATTCGCTAATTTTATCTTTTTTCTCGACGTTTCAAGCCAATCTGAATCGAATGAGACCAAATTTGGAAAAAGTATGTGTGTGTGTGTGAACAGATTTTTTACCGTAAATCGACGTTTTCTGAAAAACAGCTGGACCGATTTCAAAAATTTAAAAGCCATTCGATGTATCTCGATGAGGACTATCGTTTGTCAGTTTTGCGCTACGATGGGTGAAACCGTTTCCTTGTAAATCGCAGAAAAATGAAAAAAAAAATGTCCACGTTTTAACCCGCAATTTAGAATCGATTTTAAAAATTCAAAAACCGTTCGAAATATATTGGTTGGGAATCGTGCTGATTAGTTTTTGGTAAAGTAGGCCGGCGCCGAAACTTTTTTCGACGATTTATATGATTTTTTTTCCACGGTAGATACCTCAGTCTTATAGATCATACTGAAATATTACGGCCCTACGACAACTCGTTTTACTTTAAACATTCGTCAAAGATTGCAAAAATTGATATAGTTTTTTGGCATTTGTCAAAATTAGACCTTTCATCGACGTTTGCTCAAAAACGCCTAAATTGATTTCAGAAATTTAAAAGCCATTTGATGTATCTCGATGAGGATTATCGTTTCTCAGTTTCGTGTGACGATCGGCCGAACCGTTTTTTTGTAATTTGGAAAAAAGTGTTAAACTTTTCGTCCACATTTAAGCTCATACTACCGAATCGATTTTAAAACATCAAAAACTGTTCGAAAGATATTAGTTAGGAATGATACTGATTAGTATTAGGTGAAAATCTACCAAGCCGTTTTCTTGTAATTAACTGTTGAAAAAAAATTTTAGCTGATTTTTATAGAACTTTTTTGGTGATATATATAATGGTCTTTACTGAAATATTACGGCCTTACGACAAGTTGTTTTATTTTAAAAATTCATCAAAGTTTGAGAAAATGAGTAGTTTTTTTGACGTTTGTTAAAATTAAAATTAGACTATTTACTTGGTATAACGATAGAGTACTTGGTCTTAATGAACATACTAAACCATTAAAGTCCTACGGAACTGGTTCAATTTTAAAAATTGTTGATTTGTGAAAATTTGCTTATAGAAAATACTCTGAGTTAACGTGCTCATTCGTTTACAATTATGTGTAATAAATCCACTCGGAATACTTTTAATCACTCATAAATTATTTTTATTTTTTATTGATTAAGTCGATTATTTACACATATCGGGAAGTACATGTAACCTGTCTCAAGGCAAACTACTAATACCAACTAGTTCGTTATAATTTTTAAATTTAATTTTCCATCACCAGAAACAATAAAATTATCTGTTCCGTACTTTTTATTTGTCGATTTCAAAATATATACATATCCATTCCTTCATATATCCATATCAATACCTGTATTGGAATCGCAAACATACTTTACTATTCTCATCACTAGTAACATAAAATGTATCAATATTGTAATAATTTATTAAAATTTAATTATTCAAACACAAAATATATATGTGAAGTATATCAATCAATAGTTTGTTGTTTCATTTGCATAATTAATGATGAATAAGCACATAGCTGATTTAGATTAATGTTGTTCTAATCGAGATTGATGAATATTTTCAGTACAATATTTATAATAAAATGTTTTAGCTCCAATATCGCTAGTTTGTTCTTTGGCAATGTCACCAACTCACCAAGCCTCATAAACAGTCTTATTTTCATAAATTTATAAATATTCGAAAACTTAAACTTAATAAAAAATATTATATTATAGTAATTCAAGCTATTTTATATTAAAGTATTCAATAGTCTATTAAAATTAATGACCTTTATTAGCCGCTGCACTCACATGTAAAAAAAAATGAAATAAATAAATCAGCCTCAATCGTACATTTGTACTTTTACACAGGTAATGACACCAAGTCTCTTTCATAAACTCATCAATAATATTCAAAAACATATATTAAATAAAAACAAGTCGATTGTGCCACAATAATTTAATTTATATCATAATAAAGTATTCAACAGATGATGCTCTACACTTGGTAATCTAACCTTTCTATGCTTCTCTTGAAGGGTCCTGAAAATAAATACTTCGAAATATATAATATAAAATTAGTTTTGATTATAGAAAATTTACGATATGTTAAGATACACTATTTGTTCTTTAATTAATAAGTGTTTTTTGAAGAAAAACTAATTTATTCTTTCTTAACCCGTTTCTCTTGCACCACTGTTGCACTACATATCGCACCATAAAGCTAATGTAATAATACATACTTCTACATAATTGTTTAGTAGATTTAATTTCTTTAATTCCGATTGACTGATTGATGACATTTTAATTTTTTATCGCGTGTTTGTGAGGGAACTAATTTTCATTGGCATTGTTCATAACTCGCGTGTTTATCAATTTTGTGATTATAAAAGCATATGTCATTTCTAGACTGACTAATCGTGGGAATACATTAAGCTCGTGTAGTCATATCAATTAGAAAATTCTGAATAATTTTTGTTATCATTAGGTATAATATCAATATTTTTGATCGATCGAAATATTTAATGTCCAACGCGATTTCAAACAAATCTCTAAATATTTCTAATATGTATCAGTAATATCCGGCGTAACAATTATAGATTAAGCAGGAATCTTCATATATTTTATTTTATACTATTGCTTCCGCATGTAATGAACGGAGGTATTTCATAATATTTTTTGTTCAGAACGCTTATTATCAAATTCATATAATTACAGTGATTTGAATGAAATTTCAAAAAATTAAATAAATTTATTCAAATAGTATATTAAGTCTGTTGAATAAAATCACTATTTAAAAGAAATGCGCCATAAATAAGCTCTGATGGTAGTAAAACTCTCATGATACTCCTCTCATGATCATGTAATTGTTAATCATAATTTATTTTTAGAACTATAATTTTTTCTATGCCCGATAATCCAAATCTCCTATTTCCTGAATCACTTGAAAACAAAAAAAATCAATATGAAATAAGATATATGTATGAGTAAAGTCGTCTTTGGCATTTATTTGATATTTTTTCGATAACGGCCGCAACGATTTCAATAATTTAAAAACCTTTTGATAGAGCTAAAGAACTTGAGCTTGACTTGATTAGATTAATTTGCACGCTAATTGGTTTATTGGTTTGTTTATAATTAACAATCAAATGGAGAATTTTATTCAGAAAAAATATGAACAGATTTAAAAATTTAAAACCTGTGAAACTGTTAAAGATTTGGTATTTTTTTTTAAATTGTAGTCTTTCCGAAATCAGGTCCATGGTATGAGAGCACCACAAATTAATGATTTCCTTTCCTTTCCTTGCATTATTATTCTCATCACTAATTTATTACCATTATTTTCTTTTTATTCATTTTTATGTATTTTTCTTTCCAACCTTCTGCTTTCATGTTTTCTGGTCTTGAGCTTCAGCTTTCTGATTCCTGTATTTTTTCTTTACACGCAAGTCTTCAATCGCCTGTATTCTTCTTTTTCTTCCCAGTCCTTTCAATCTTTCTATTTCATCTTCGTCGACGTCGTTTTTAAGGCGCTTTTTTGCTGAATGGGTCCGATCCAGTTTTCTTTACTTTTCAGGATCATGCTTGGTAGAATCGTTTTTTGTGCCCACTCTTCTTAGCACTTTTTTATTTGTTACCTTGTCTGTCTACTTTATCTTCTGCATTGGCCTCTGACATCACATTTCAAATCTTTTCAGAAAGTTTTTGTCGGCCTTTCTTAGAGTTCATATCTCTCATCTGTACAGAGCTATGCTTCAGACATGTACTTTATCAGTATCTTCCGCAAGTCGAGACTTTAGTTTGTTAGTCAGTAGCATTCTCTTCTTATTTTTAGTGAACGCCGCCTTGGCGCTTGCGATCCTTGCTCTGATATCCCTCGTCTCGTACAGTATCTGTCTCTGATATTCTAATTCTCGATTTCCTACAATTATCCTCAGTGGCACGTCTTGTTTCGATATTCTCATTTGTCTATGTTGAAAACGGTTAACACAGGGGTTTCCAACCTTTTTGCACCGCGCCGTCCCGCCCTTATAAAAAATGGTTGCGCCCTCCTTAATCTTTTTAATTTAATTTAATTTTGTAAATACTAAACGATATTATCAGACAGAAAATTAGTATGCAATATTATGTAAAAATATGCATAAAAAGCAATTATTTTTTGTTAATTTTTTAATAAGGGTGCGCGCCCCACAGATTGGAAACCGCTGGGTTAACATGTTTAATTGAAATATAATAGTTTGAGAAAGCGCAAATAATTTTAAGCTATTCTAGAAATTCTAAAAAGAGAATAACCCACAATTTTGTGGGAGGTTTTGAAATTCGAAAACCTAACTTAAATAAAAAATCTTGATTAATTTTTAAGATTAGAAAGATTATTCAACTTATTGTCTAAAGTTAATCTCCACTAATTGTTTTGTTTTTCACCGATTATTTATCTTCAAGGTGTTTCTCGGCGAAATATCAGAACCCCGGCTAAGGGGGACGTTGATCGGAGCCCCATTTGTGTCATATTCTCTTGGAATTCTCCTGGTCTATGCCCTGGGCAGCTCCTTACATTGGAGGGCCGTAGCTGGTGCAGCAACTGTGCTGCCAGCGCTCGCCTTGCTGGCGATGTGTTTGATGCCCGAAAGTCCAGTCTGGCTCGTTAGGAAAGAAAAGCGAAAGCGCGCCGAAAAAGCTTTACTATGGCTTCGAGGTGACGAGAAACTGGTAAGTGGCTATATCATTATTTATTTGCAAATTTATTTTAGTTTGAGTATTCTTTGTAGTTTATTACAAATTCACACTCACCTACATAAGTAAAATAGTAATAACATGATAGTCCAGTCATTATAGTAAGTTCACCTCCGTATTCGAGATACACCTAACAGTTGTCTCAAATCTACATATGCTGCGTACTCCTTACCATATGTAGGTTTGGAGACAACTTTTAGGTATCAATATACAAGTATTTACAGACTTACAGCTGGATATCTCGAATTCCGAGATTCTTACCTAATGGCGATGTGCTTGCTTCTACATCATACTTCGAGGTGGTCCTTAATATGGATAATTCTAATTACTCTACTCCCAGTAGCTCAAATGCTACCAAATTTTACCAAGTCTCTATAAGTTTTAGCTCTTAATATTAACTTTAAGATAGTCCGCAATCCAACCAAAGTTTCTTATGGAAATGCATCGGAACATCAGAAAAATTCCATTTGTTTTTTAGAATTATATACCTTTGCGACAAGTGAATCAACATTTTGAGAATAACATTATATTTACTTATTTTGATCATATATGAAAAAATACAACAAAAATTTGATATATTTTCCAAAGTAAGTATTCACTTAGGAAGAAGAACCAAGAAACTTTGGTTGGAGTACGGACTATCTTCACGTTTATATTATTAGGAGCTAAAACTTCCAGATAATTTTTTTCATCAATTTGAAAGCACTTGAGCCCCTAGGAGCAAAGAAATTCGAAATATCAATATTAATTATACAAATATTATCCTTTTATCATATCAATTTTCAAATCATCCATATTTATTTTGATCATTGATGCATGATGCATATGATTGTGGTTCTTACTTTGCTATGAGTTAGATAAAATAATCTTTATCTCTACAAATGATTTTTGTAATTGTTATGATTGGTAGATTTTTTTAAAAGGCTGAGATGAAATATGAGATTTTTTTCTAAATATGAGATCAACTTCTCTTAACGTTTTCTAGTTAGAATGCAAGCTAAGCCTTGCACGTGCCTTAATTACAGAGAAAAAATTTCAACCGCACATTATTCGAAGTTTCTTGGAATTTGGAGTTATAATCACAATAAATGTTTGAGATTTTTTTTGCTGATATATTTATATTTAAATGACGCTTACATTGCATTCATTAGTACATATTTATGCTTACAGAACAAAATGTTTAAATTGTAGTATTCACAGTGCTACTTTTCACACAATTAAAACATTGAAATTGCTGTAGATAAAACACACACACATATGTATATATATATATGTATATATATATATATATATATATATCTTTTACTATCCTAAAATATATCTCTTTTATCTGTGAATACTACGACACATAATAAATACTGCTTGTTATAATCACAAATGAGTAATCACAATTATTCACTTCAAACTTTAGACATAATTAACAAAAAATCTTGATGACAACGAGTTATATTGATTAAATATTACACAAGATATTCCTTCTTAACTATTTGCTGAATAAGGTTTAGTATTTATATATATAGTAGAAACAGTTCTGTAAAATAGTTAAAGTTTTGCTTAGTTGGTTTAATGTAATCTGTTTATGCCTGCCAACCTGACATCATTTTACCTATCTAAATGTTAGCTATCCAATGCATAAGTATTGTATAAACAATACTCATTAAAATGCAATACAATATACAAAAATATTTTTTCTAATTTCACAAAGAAGGAAATTGTAATTGGTTATTGTGACAAAAATTAGAAGAATGGAATATTTTCAATTTAATTTACATCGGAAAAAGTGTAAATGGTAGTATTATTGAGCAAAATATTAATTACAAATGGTACATGGTTTTGCACTTAGCGAGATGTTATGGATTATAAGTACAGTCACTTCATTGATAATTAAGATTAATAAGCATAGAAATAAAAAGAAAAATTTGACATGTTATTATGTTTTTCTCTTAACTAATGATAAATTAGCCCTTGCCAAAACTAATGCACGTCTCTCCATCAATAGCAATCGAATGTTTTTTGAATCATTTAAATCGGCTGATCCATGTTTTTGAAATCGTGACGAAATATTGTGACCAAACATACATACTACATACACACACATACATCCATTTTTTTCTAAGGTATGCTAAAACATGTTCAAAAGGTGTTGAAACGTAAAGCTATATCAATTTTTTATATCGATTTTTTCACGTTTACAATAACTTACTAGAAGTTAAAAAAAAGTGCAGCATCAGCACTGTTTATGTATTCTACATACTAGTTAAGATTTATTTAAATCATTTTTACATAAATCAACTATTGGGCTCCATTGAAAGAAACGTAGATTGTTCTATCTTTTTTTATTTTATATTCGTTTTTTATTTTAATTTATTAAATAACACCTATTAACCAGCGATTAAGAATAATAGTACGAAGATAGTTTTAAACACTAGCTTGAATTTTATTATCATGTGCACAACATATTTTAAACTTTCCATAGGGTAAGTTATAGTAATTTCAAAAAATGGAATATGAAAATTTTAGCATATCTTTACGTTTCAAATCAAAGATTTCTGAACATTTTGGCATATTTCAGAAAAAAATTGTATGCGTATGTGTATGTAATGTATGTATGTTTGGATACAATTTTTCGTCCACGATTTTAAAAGCGTGGATCAACCGATTTGAATAATTCAAAAAGCATTCGATTTGTATTGACAGGGAGACATGATGATTGGTTTTTGGCAGAAGATACGAGACAAAAACTGCCAAAAATGGTAATTCAGTTTTTGAGATAACGGAGCGTCCGATTTGAATATTTCAAAAAACATGTTACTTATATTGGCAAACGAAATTCTGATTAAATTTTGGGAAGGCAGGCCTTGCGGTTTCGGACATCCAATGTACAAAGTAAAGAATGCCATTTGCCGATGAAAAATGATCATTAAACATATGCACATCAAATTATAGATATTTCAATAATAAGAACAAATTTTGTTTGCATTTGATCGGTTCCTTACCAATGTTTATACGTTAACTGCAACGCGGCTCTTATGCGCTTTGATATTTCGTCTCTACGCAGCTAACGCAGCGCGATTGCTTTGAAAATAGCTCAAAATTCCCAAAATATTTCGAAATATAAAAAAAATTCAATTTTTTCAAAAAGTATTTTTTGCAAAATTTTCTAAATTCTGAAAAATGTTTTTCGAAATTCTTCAATTTTGTTATCTATTTCAGAAATTTTAATTTTCATTACGGGAAGTTCCAGCAATTTGCCTTAAGGGGCACAACTAGTGTAACTGCCTAAAAAAAGGTGATTTTTGGGAATTTATATTAAAAACACTACTTTATCAATCATTTCAAAATTTTAGGAATATATTTATACTTGTTCTAAGAATACATAGTAAAATTTTTGAAGAAAAAAATTAAATATTTTTTAACTTATCGTCGGTCTCCAACGGCGCGACAAAAAAGGCCCTTCACTGCTGCAGTGATTCCGGCCTTCTACGTGGATGAAATTTTAAAAAGAAAAATTGTCGTTAATCTAGATAATATTGTCTGTAAAATGAACTACGATGAAGAAAAAAATTAAATTAAATTGGCAAAATGACGGCGTTTTTTAAAAAAAGTCGAATTTTACCCAGAATTTTGATCGTTTTTGGACTGCCAAAGTTCGATTTTTGATCCGATCAAAAAATCGATAGTTCATTTTACGGAGAACTATACACCTAAGTCTGTTTTTACACGGAGATTGGTTCCAGAAGAAGCCGTGTAAAAAAAGACATTGATCTTATACAAAAATGGGTGATTTGTCCTACTCTCTAAAACCTATTAAAATTAGTGAAAAACAAAAATTCATGTTTATTTTAATAATAATTCCCCTAAATTAGTGCTATTCACATTTGCTTTGACCAGTAAAAATTGTTTGTACGCGCTAAAGGGGAATTCACTTAAATCTTTAAGCTAGTGTTCGCAAACTATCGATACTATCGATGGTATCAGACTTTTTTCTTTCATAAATACTTTTTTGTAATATGAACATACTTTGCAAAAATTAAATTTGTCAAAAAAAAATTGAGTACATAAAATTTCAAATCGTGCTAAATGGAATAAAATCGTGTAAAAAAATTAAAAATATTCAATTTTCAAACCGTGTTATATCAAAACCGTGTTATATCAAAACCGTGTACAAAAAGACCGTGTAAAAACAGACTTAGGTGTATATAGAACATGTAAAAAAAATTGATAGTAATCAGATCATTTGTTTTTGAGTAATCGCTGCAGCAAATTCGGAAAATGCTGTTTCGAGAAAAACGCGTTTAAAGATTAAATGATCGTTATACTATATACTATATATGTACTCTTTAAATGGCTGTGACTTAAAAACTCAAACTATTTAAGATATCGATTTAAAATTTTGGTATGTTATTTTTAAAGGTATAACCTATCGAATTATGGAAAAATTAAAAATTCGATTTTTTGAAAATTTCACACTAGTTGTGCCCCTTAAGGCACGATGCCATGTGCCCCACTAGTTGTTTTTTTTATTTTCGAGGTTTTTTTGATGGGCAATACCTTGCGCAGAGCTCAAAACTAATTTAAAAATAAATATTAAGATTCGAATCAGCATTGAGCGCGACTTGTGCTCGTTTTACCTACTTGACAACTATTACCATCACCGATGACGCAATGAATGGTGCGATATCTATCTATCGTTCGCCTCGAATCATGAACAAGGTCAATTACTCGGCTCATCTGTTCGTGAATTATCCAAATTGTTTGTGTTACATTAAGTTAACAATGCTAACAATATCTCTTCAGCGATACAAACGAGCATTTAATGTATCAGCAAACAAGGCAATCATAATTATTTATCGTGTTAATTACCTGCGACAGCGGTGCCTCTGTTGTTTTGCGGTTTAATTAATTTCTGATAACGATTAATAAATATTTAGATTCAAATTTTTCATTAAGATAAGCGGATAATATTTGCATGTGAA